CTGCTGCTTTTGAGTGCTTGGCATCTCCTTCACACTCTCTAACATCACTGCCTGATTCAGGTGGTTTACTTTTGCCAACAGGAGCCTGATTTGTGTTAGATGACAACTTGGGTTCATGGATCAGAAGAGTCTTCATAATTTCATTATCAGTGACAGTTTCTTTACCAGTTTCTTCAGAAGCATTTACTGCTAATACACAACACTAAGTATTAGAGGTATCAATAGTTTACAGTTACCACAGGCATCCTGTATAAATTGTTTTCTTCTACTCTGGGTCATCTTTACCCACACTCTAGGGTTCTCTTGAAAGTGCAGACATCTCCAAGAGTTTTCCACTTTAAAGACTACCACTAATGTTACCATATGGCTAGAGCCAAAAATTCCAGGAGCTGGTACCTGACCTCTGGCTTTACAAATCCTACCTCAGTCAGGGTAAAGACTGGTTTTTAGAAGCTGTGATAACCACTAGTGTAGAATTGAAGTGTAACTATATTCTAAACCAATCATCTGATCACACTTATGATAGGAAAGACATGATGAAATGCAGTAACACTGCAAAATCTAAAGTATTTGCTAAAAAAAAAAAAAAAAACAACCAAAAAACAAAACAAAACAAAGAACTTACCAGCACTGTTGGTGGTGGTTCTTGTTGCTCCTTCCACAGTGCTCTGTGACATCCAGATAGGTTGCTTCTTAGTTGCTTTTTCTCTTGTTTTCTTCTTGTGCTCAGGATCTTGGACATCAATAACCAAGTTTTGGGTGTACATATTGCTGTAAGAGGAACGTCTGCTGGCCCTTTTCTCATGTTGGCTGCAGGATTCCAGCACACTTGAACCCACCTGATCAAAGCTGAATGGAATATACACACATTTGGGACAGGTTAAGTTCAGGCAAGAACCCCCAGTTCCCCAGTACCAACCTACCAACCAACCAAAAAAAAGCCTGTTTTGTCAGCAGACAAGCTTTAGCCAGTGCTCTGTATTAAAGCAATTCTCATTCCTTATTACTTTGTCTCAGAGGCAAGTGGTTCTGAACTACTGAACTTTGCATGGACACTTCAGTCATGCATCTCTGGATGGAGCATGCTGCTCCTACAGAAAGGGTCATGAGTATTGGCTGAAGAAGTCTGGAAAATTAATTACTTTAAAAGGTAGCAAACATAAAACTATAAATGCATAACAATAATTTAGGATGCCTTAGATATTACAGGCTTCTTCATTAAGCAGCTGACAGTACTGAACAAAACAGAACTGAGTAGAAAGTGGGCTGCAAGTTCAGTATTTCAAAGGGTTTACAACTGGGAAGCTGTTGGGGGAGCTGTGTTTTCTGATCAGAATTTTGAGGGTTATGATTATACCTTTCTGACAATTCTGGTATTTCTGTTGGCTGTGGCTCCAGAAATTCATATGGCAGAGCAATATCTTCAGTCTCACGCAGCAGCACAAAGACAGGTTCCATCTGCTCATTGAATTTCGCTAGCAAGTTTCGAGCATCACGCTTCAGAACTGCTGAGGCATCTTCTTCTAATTCAGTGTTGCAGTAAGTGCAGTGGAAAGTCTCTGCAACATGATCCAAGTTAGAAATGCTTGAGTTCATAGGGCACAAAAGACCAGCAGTACCTTGCTAAGAATCCACAACATGGACCATTACCAAAACATTCTGACTTTGTCTGTTTGTTCACCTTAACCAGGGATTTCAAGTTATAAAGGCAAGCCTTACTTCCCTTTTGGAGAGGGACTGATATTCACACACTTGCTATGCAAGGGAGAAATGTCTGTACTGGGGGGAAAAGTTAAGTTGGCTAGACAGGGAGTGTCATCAGATAGTAAGATCTAACTTTTTTCTTGGCTGATCTCATCTTTTCCTTAGTTCATAATGTAAGAAAAAGACATTTGTAAGCATAAATAGCATCTGATCTTAGTTGTTCAGAGGTCTTGAAGTTCAGAAAGACTCATTCAGTGATAAACCCTCTATGTCTTAAGCAAGGAAAAAAAAAGCATACTATTAAAAATGTATCGGAAGCCTCAATGTTTGCAATGTTGACGAAGTCCCTCCATTTAGAGCAAGGGATGATTTTGCTAACTGATGGTACATTAATTTCACCATTGACGTTCCAAGCTAGGCATGTGAAGTTCATTCTCCCTGGCTCTGGCATCCTTTGCTGATACCACAGCCCAGATGTTAACACGGCAGTTGCACTTAGAGTAATGCATTGAGGTATGATGCCATTTTAACTCATTTAGAAAAAGTGCTCTCTGTTGAGTTATTTTGATTTTAGAGAAGAGAAACCCACAAGCTCTGATGCCACATCTGCTGTGGATGTGTTGTGCTGCCCCAGGAGGAGCCTGAACTTCCCTGTTTCCAGCACAGGAGTGATGGAACGCCTCTGCTGCCAAGCTGCAATACAGTTATTGCAGTAGTTGGCTGCAAACAGTTTTATCCATCTTGTCCAATTCTTTCAGCAGAAGAACTGAACACACAAATGGATTAACTGATGCATTCAGAACAGAGTCAAGCAAGTACTGTATTCTTATTCCCATGTGAGGAGGTGGGGATCACAAGACTTTGGTGAGTAGTCTTAAAACAGGGTAAAAGTCTTGCTCATAGCAAAGCTGAGGCCTGAAATCTGACTCCAAACCCCAGCATGTGTATTTAAGATGGTTCTTCCTCTTGCTTGGCCTGTTCTACAAGGACAACTTTCTTCTTACCTTCACCTCCCAGCTTCTTCTGTCCCAGGCCCTTGTCCAACAAGAAATGCATTCTAAAAACATGCTTTTATTGCAAAGTTTGCATAGAAGCCAACTTTGTGCTATCAAAGTTACTTTTTAAGACAAGAGCAAATAAGCAACATACCTGTAAATACATCGAAGAGCTGATTGACCTCAAGGTCTGTGTAAGTGCTGGAACAAGACGGACATTTAAAAGAGGATCTGGTAGTTGAATCTCGCTCATCCGCTTCTATTTTCCGGCGTATATGATCCAGTTTGTATTTTACCACATCCACCAGCACCTTGTAGTTGATGTAGTAGTAATTGTGCCTTGTGCTCTTCCCGTTAGGCCCTGTTTCAACTCGTATACGCAGCTTCACAAACTTGTCTGCCTTGAGCGTGTTGAGGATAGCACGCAGTTGTTTGCGTTCGTACTTGAGCAGCTGTAACAGGTCATCCTCTTTCATGCAGGGGTAGCGGATCAGTAGATCAAGAGCCAGGGAGTGCTCTACTCCGTAGAAACCACGCACTACGTATTTGGCCAGGCGCTTTAGGGCTGCTGGGACCTCTGTGATAACGTTTTGCTCTTCCATCGGGAGCTGAAGCACCGTCAGAAAAACAAGTGCTGCACAACAAACAGAAGGGAGGTGAGCTATAGTGAACCTTTGTTAGCGCTCACCTGCTCGTACAGCAGGTCATTTGCTGTGCTTCTACAAGAGTCTTCACAGAACAGATTGATGTCAAATCGTTAACCTGCACCTGGGCATGGAGAAGGTATAAAAGATTACTTAATCTTGATGTAAATTATTTGTGTCCTCTTGTGTAAAAACCCACAGAAGAGATCTAGGAAAACAGGTTACAGAAAGTTCATAATAATCCTCTTTACAGAAGACAGCACAGTTCACTTGCATGTCCAGGTCTGCCTGAAGTATCTGTTTTCATTTGCAGCCAGCCAGGTCAGAGCTGAAGTTAACACCATGCACCTTCAAAAGTAAAGCTCAGGACACAAGCTGGGCAAGAAATCTTTGGTTTAGTTCCTAGCAACATGTGAAACAGATGAGCTTGTACCTCCCTTTGTGGCAAAGCCACAAGAGGCATTTGAACTCCTTTTAGCCTGTGCTTTGTGATTTTTCTGCTGGCTGCTGTGGCCAGAGGCCTGGCAAATCTGGGGCACAGGCTGCACCATCTCATCTGGCACTGCCCACACTCAGCACACGGTGTCCAGGCTGTGCCTGCTTGTTCCACCACACCAAAGCACCAGGGAACATCTGCAGCGGAACATTTTCCTCCTTAGTGCTTATGTTAATCAGTCCAGCTGTCCTGTGTCTTACTTGTGAGGAGTGGAGGGAAAGGAAAAGAATTGAGGTAGGTTTCAGTAAAGCCACATCCCAAATCCTTTTTCTTTGAGGTGTGTTAAAGTCCTACAGTGGTGTTTGGTGCCCCAGCCGCCAGCCAGGCTGCTGTGCAGAGAACCATGCCACATGCAGCCAGGCAGCGTGCTGGTGTAGCCACAGGACCAGGCAGTGAGCATGTTACAGCCTGCTGCATTGCCAGCACTGGCACCCACTGCTGAGGGCCAGCTTGCTCAAGCATAGGTATTGCTACACAGAGCTTCCAGGTGCCCTTCATCAGAAATCCTAGCTAAAAAAGCCAAACCTGTACACAGTAGTCTTGTAGTTGAGCCATAATTGAATTTACACCTCACAGAAGCAGCCTTTTGAATAACCTAAGCCAAGCATAAACCCACTGGTCTGTGGCTGGGAACCATGAAGGCAATAGCACCACACTGACCTCTATTTCCTCCCACAGGAAGAGGTCGGGTCTCCATACTTCAACTGGACAAGAGCCTGACCTTGCTTTGAGATTAGTTGTGCCATGAGCAGGGGTTGGACCAGATGGCTTACAGAGGTTCTGTCTAACCTAAATTATTCTGTTCTGTTCCAAGTGAGTTAAATTTAACCACAGTGAGGAGAGAAGCTTTGGGAATGTCAGTCATTTCCTTGTCAGTCCTCCCCAGACTGTAAGAAGAGCGTTTCTGTACTTTTTCACAAGAGCCTGGAGAAAAAAAACAGTTTTTTAAATGTTTATAGTTTTACTCTTTCACTTCTCCTTTGCCCTCGTTCTGAAAAGAGGCTCAACTACAGTGCACCTGACTGTCATGGTTAGCAGGGCAGCATAGCTCATCACATCACAAGACAAGCAATATTCCCTTCCACAGGCAGGAAAGCTTGAGACATGCAGCTTGTGTTCAGCCAAGCCTCCCAGAAGCTAAACTATGTTCTTGCTGCCAGCCACGTCCTAGTGAAGGTCTGACATGCATGTGGATGTGTCTGTGGTGGGACAGGGACAAACTCTAGTCCAGAGTCAGGAACTCCATCTGCTGAGGAGAGACTAGATGCTTAAATAAAATCTTTTTGACTGCAGTCCCACCTCCACCTCTTCCTTTGATGGATGAGCTACCTCAGGTTGCCAGGGCAGTTCTGCCAGATAAAACCATAAGCAGACATGGTGGATTACAGGTCAGTGAGCACAGTGGCTACCCCTGAGCCACTCGACCATGTTCATGCCTCAGCTGCACTTGGCAGGCAATTTTCCTTTCCCCCTCCACAGCAAGGACTCTTTGCTTTTAGAGCTGAGTAGGCTTTCCTTTGAAGCCAGGATAAGGGTGTGCAGAGGAATATATATTGAGAATAGCCAAGAAGCTTCAGACTGCAGAGAAGCTACCAGTGTGCAGGACAGCTTAGATTTACTGCTCTTGACCCAGGGCTGTGGGCTGGTTTGCCACATTTCTTCTCCAGTGCTTTAACCCCAGGGGCACTTGGGCATAAACCACAAGATTTCCAGAGTACAGACAAACAACAGACTTCTTCCACAGAAGTCTCACTAAAGACTTCTCTTTCTTCCTCTTCTGGCCTCACAAATTTGGAATGTTTTTGTGCCACAGCTTATGCGCAGCAGGAAGGATGGGTGGACAGTGTTCTCAGCAGCCTCAGTTCCAGAGATCAGGAGCATGGCTGTGAGTCTTCTCAGGTTCTGGACAGCCCTGAGCCTTGTCCTGCTACACTGTGGGCACACAGCCCACAGAACAGAGGCTCCACGGCCTCCAGTACAGGACCAAAGGGAAGCAGCCATCACTTACAGTCCAGCTCCACTGAGGAGCACTAAGTCAGCTCCAGCACCTGTGTCAGATACAGTACCAGTCACATGCTTTAGTCTGGGCGAAGATCTCAGAAAGGGCCAAGGTGCCCTCTGCGTGAATTCATTTCATATGAACACCAGTTTGATTGTGGGAACCATCAAAGAAAGAACAAATCCACTTCTGCATCTAGCCCTCGGCTAATGGGGGCAGAACCCTGGCACTTAAACGACTTTTATTACAAGCAGGTCTCATGACTGTTTTTCTTACCCCAAGCCAAATACAGAATGAAATCATTTCAAAGGGAGTGTGATAAGTAGATAACATCATTAAGGAAGAAGTAGGACCTGAACTGTAAGTTCGAGGTTTGCTGACCTATCAGTTCTCTGGATGAGTCCTTATCCCAGACTTGCACTGCGTACTTGCATCTCTAAAGCCAGCAGTGCTCTGAAGTGCTGGGAAGTCTGGACTCTGCTGAAGTGCTTCCGAGCGCCTTGATGTTAAAAGCTCTTCAGGTCCAGGGCCCTACAACCATGTAAACTACTCAGAGAAGGGAAAAAAACAGCTGATGCACACAACAGAACTCCCCCATACGTAGACACATACTGTAAATATCATTAATTGATGATATGGAGATGAGTGAAAAGCTTTTCTCGAGAACAAATCTATAGAACCCACTGTCCATATGCAGTGAGAATCTAGACGTGCCTTTAGTTCAATGTAAAAGGAAATATCTTTCTTTTATAGAAATGGCTGAATTTGCCCTGAATAAAGAACGTTCATGGAAGATACAAACCCCTTCAGGAGCGTTACTTCAAGCTACATAAAACCACAAACTATATTTTTTAGTACAAACTACACAGAAACAGAGTGGGGGGAAGCTTTCTCTACAGTGCTTTGGTTTATTTCAAGTTCTGTTTCTCTAGTCCATTTTGAAAAACCTCTTCATCTTCTAATCACCAAAACTGAAGTCTTTCAGTTCAGGAAAACTGCTGACTTTCAAAAGCTGTTGTGTAGTTTTCAGCTCACAGGTAGCAGTTCCCCTTTAAGAGCACCTAGAGAGACCCTTACCAAGGAAGGGAGGAGGAAGAGGAGCAGCTCCTTACAGAGAGAGAAGGGCTTTAAACTGGAATCTGCTCTGTAGCTGAGCCACAGTCTGCATTAAGGAGGCAGGTATTTTGCTACTCATGTAGAATGGAGTATCTCCAGCTGATAGCATGTCTGGAAAAGATATCTCAGAAGCCACAGTCTAGCTTCTGACTTTAGATACTTTTAAAAAGTATTTTAAAAGTATTTATATGAGCGGAGAGGCTACCTTCTTTCCATGTTGGTTAGTTGTAAGATTATTCAGTTACTTAGGTGCCTGAGAGGCCCTTCTGCTTATAGTTAATATGAAGCCATTATAATCTTAATAGAATCATAGGATGGTTTGGGTTGGAAGGGACCTTAAAGATCATCTAGTTCCAACCCCCTGCCACAGGCAGGGACACCTTCCACTAGACCAGGTTGCTCCAAGCCCCATTCAACCTGGCCTTGAACACTGCCAGGGATGGGGCACCCACAGCTTCTCTGGGCACCCTCTGCTAGTGTCATCAAGGAGAGAGGAATGCAGTGCTTTGTCTTTCTCACATGCAGGATCTACCTTTTGGATCCTCTTTTTGCTTTGGGAAACCCACACAGAAGTTGTCAGGCAACAAAACCAAAAGCAGAATTTCAAGTTAAGAGGCATAATATAGAGCAAGTTCTGCAAGGTTTCTCTGGAGCCAGTTGCTTAATTAACATTTCACTTGAGGTGCCTGAAAAAGCAAAGTACCCATCTCACACTTCAGAAGGCACTAAACCAGAAAGATTTAGTAGAGCAATCTCTCATCAGACTTCATATAACCATATCTTTTGCAAAGAAGTTAAAAACCTCATCATTACCTCTTTTGTGTAGGCAGAAGACTTGAGGCTGATACTGTAGATTCACTCCTTTCCTAAGAGGTCAAACTAACTGCAAAACAAGCTTAAGTATTTCCCAGCCTTTTCCTAGACCTATCTGTGATAAGCCTTAATTATCACTCAGCTGGAGCAAGAGTCCCCAAATCATATTCATTAGCAACTGAATGAATTCAGCCTTGCATACATTGTGTCATGATAAAGTCATAAATCTGTTGCTCAATGACATCCACCTACAACAGGGAAGGACTGCAAAAGTAAGTACTGCAATCTTTGATTAGTGTTTTCATTAGCATGACTTTAGAAGACTGAAAGTAACATAATCATTAGCTCTTCTTTTGTTGTTGCAAACCAAATATTTAGTACAGGTATTTTACATAATCTGTGTTTAGAAGCTTTCATAACCAAACCTGGGAACTTGAGTATCTTGGCAAAGAAATAAGGTGGAATTTATGTGTTTACTAGGTTTGTATTTTTACTTATTAATCTTTTTAGGTGGTTTATGATTTCAAAGGGAAA